AAAGCAGATAAACACTACTCAGGAGATAACCTTAACCCTCAAGTCAGGTTATGCTAATCTTATTTGAAACCATTTGCAAGCAATTTGTCTATTTCACCCCAAATGCCACAATATTTAGCAATACAAGTTGCATGGTTTCAGAAGTACTTTAAACTGTCAAACATGAGAGCAAAATATTATTTTGAAAAATAATACATCATTGCACCCTCTTTTCACTGTTTTTTTTTTTTTTAATTTTCATTATCTAGTTAGGAAGTAGGCAGGGAGGCAGGGTGAAAGGGAGGCAGGGAGGGAGGGAGGCAGGGAGGGAGAGAGGGAAAGAGAGAAATGAGCAACAAGCAGAGAAGAAGAGGAAGAAGAGAAAAGGAAAGGAGATGGGAAGGAAAAAGAGAAGGAAAAGAGGAGGAAAGGAAAGATAAGAGAAGCTAAAATCATTCCTACTTGCTGGGTTCAGTCTGTCTTTTTCAAGATTTTCCTTTGAGAGAGGATAATGCTATCACCCTCCCAGGGTTATGGTGGAAACTAAATGGAACGCAACCAGCAAGGTATCTTACGTGTACTTAGTAGCAATAGTTAAAGCATCATGGTACTTTCCATCCCTATAAAGTGAAAACTCCTTTATATGGGCATCAGCCACCAGGAAAGACAATCTGAGATCACTCACCCCAATTAGTATTGTTTGGGAAACTGCTGCCACGCGTTATGCTTGTTAACATATGCTTGTTCACAGTGCATATTCCCATCTAGATTGACTCAAGTCTATGAGTATCATGTCTAAAAAGGTTTTTGTGCATTTAACATTTTAAAAAAGAGAATTAGCTAATGTGAATTGAGCTGCTATAAACATTGATGTGGCTGCATTACTATAGTATGATGACTTTAAATCCTTTGGGTATAGACTGAGGAGAGGGTAGCTGGGTCAAATGGTGGTTCCATTCCAAGTTTTTTAAGGAATCTCCATGCTGCTCTCCAGAGTAGTTGCACCAATTTCAGTCCCACCACCAATGTAGGAGTGTGCTTTTCCCCCACACATCCTCACCAACATTTATTGTTGTCTATATTCTTGATAACTGCCATTCTGACTGGAGTGAGATGAAATCTTAGAATAATTTTGATTCGCATTTCTCTAATTATGAGAGATGTTGAACATTTTTTTCATATATTTGTTGATCAGATGTATATCTTCTTCTGAGAAGTGTCTGTTCAACTTCTTAGCCTATTTATTGATTGGGTTGCTTGTTTATTTGGAGTTTTTTGAATTCTTTATATAACCTGGAGATTAGTGCTCTATCTGACATGTGTGTGGTAAAAATTTGCTCCCAAAACGTAGGCTCTCTCTTCACCTCATTGATTCTTTCTTTTGCTGAGAGAAAGCTTTTTTAGTTTGAGTTCATCCCATTTATTAATACTTGATTTTATTTCTTGTGCTTTAGGAGTCTTGTTAAGGAAGTTGGGGCCTAATCCGACGTGATAATGATTTGGGCCTACTTTTTCCTCTATGAGGCAAAGCATCTATGGACTAATTCCTAGGTCCTTGATCCACTTTGAGTTGAGTTTTGTGCATGGCGAGAGAGAGGGGTTTATTTTCATTTTGCTGCATATGGATTTCCAGTTGTTCTAGGACTATTTGCTGAAGAGGCTATATTTTCTCCAATGTATGTTTTTGGCGCTTCTGTCTAGTATGAGTTAACTGTATTTATGTGGGTTTGTCTCTGTCTTCTATTCTGTACCAATGGTCTACATGTCTATTTTGGTGCCAGTACCATGCTATTTTGTTACTATAGCTTTGTAGTATAGTTTAAGGTCTGGTTTAGCAACTCAATTCACAATAGCTAAATTGTGGAAGCAACCTAGATGCCCTTCAATATATGAATGAATAAAAAAAAACTGTGGTATATATACAGCATTAAAAGAGAATAAAATTATGGCATTTGCAGGTAAATGGATGGAGTTGGAGAATATCATGTGAAGCAAAGTAGGCAATCCCCAAAACCCAAAAGCTGAATGTTCTCTCTGATAAGTGGATGCCGTGGGGGGGGGGGGATGGGAAAAATGGAGGAATTTTGGGCAAAGGGTGTTGAGAGCCACAGCCAAAGGGGCCCCAGCAAACTTCCAGCTGCTGGCAGCTGGAAGTTTGCTGGGGCCCCTTTGGCTGTGGCTCTCAACAAAAGGGGAGGAACAGGAGGGGAGAGGGGAGGGGGGCCAGGAAGGATGGTAGAATGAGATGGATATCATTATCCTAGGTACATGTATGACTGCACATATAGTGTGACACTACATCATGTACAACCAGAAAATCAACAAGTTGTGCTACAATTATGTACAATGAATCATAATGCAATATGCTATCATATATACCTAATTAAAATAAATAAAGAATTTTTTTTTAAAAAAACTCTTAATAAAAAGAATTAGTTCAAGCTATCAGGCTATCCTTGCCCAATACCTACTGTAAATGTTTCAGTTATTGTGTAGGTGGCAAAGTGAATATCATTTTTACTTTGTATAACTTTCAATAATTTAAAACACATCAGTTTACATTCTCTCAGTAATTTCTTGCAATAACATTATTGGATATGCAAAGTGATATTAAACCAATTTTAATATGTAAAAATATGAAAGCCACAACTCACCAGTAATGAAAGCATGTCTAAACCCCAGATTTCCAAGCTCTTTATCCATTCCTTTGACCCCCACCACACTGCTTCCCCAGGCAATATTTATAAAACAGAATTCTCCCTCTTATCAAGGCCAGCATGATTGGCCATGAGAATTGCTATAAGAAAATTCTTGTCCTTAATTCATAACTTTCAAGGGAAAATATGTTTCCTCTCAGAGTCTGTTGACTCCAGGAACATTATTTGAGCTCATATTTTCAGAGCTGGACTTTCAAATTCCACAAGGTGAAGCTACCACTTATCACAGTGGCAAGAGAGGACATGGCAAAATAAACCCACTGAACAAGGGCAATTAATATTATTTTATGAGGTAACATAATTCTGAGGGGGGAAATAGCATTAAAATCAAATGCCCATGTTGCTCCTTTGATTTACACCTTTGGTACTCAGGTATCCACAGTGGATTTGTTCATCTGTGGGACTGTATTCATGTTTTTGTGGTTTAGTTTTGCTTTAGAAATATCTTCAATATTCTTTTAAAAAAAACTTAGCATTTGTTTACTTGCCTCATGGAACTTTTTAAAAAGCACACAAATATTTCATGTATAAATTCCCATTAGTAGAGATGCAAATAATATAGAATTCATAACAATAAGTGAATGCTCTTTTTTTCACATACCTATTAGTAATATTGTGAATAGTTTGCCTGTTTCTAGTCTACATACTTATATAAATATGTGTACAGATACTTATAAATATGCAATGATACTGAATGTATTATACTGTTTTGTTTTATTTATTTTTCCTTACTTTTTTCTCAAAAATATATCTTGGGGATCTTTCGGTCTGCATGTATATGTATTTGGGTGTGCTATCTATGTGTGTGTGTGTGTGTGTGTGTGTACACCTGTGTGTACATAATACATGTGCTTGGAGTTTGAAACCACACATCCTATTTCATCAGTGAATACGCCAAAGTAAATACAAACATTCCATTAATGATGGATATTCTGGTTGTTTCTGATTTTCAGTGATGAAACAATGCTGCAATAACATCACTGTATGTTAATTTACTCCTCCTGTGAGTTTATACTTTTCTACAATACATTCAAGAGGTAAAGTTGACAGAATCAAAAAAAAAATGCCTACTTTGTCAAACTGTTGCCCAAAAAGTTTCATCAATGACTCTCTCAATCATGCATGAAGCTATTGTTTTTACCACACAGTCACCAACACAGACTATAATCTTTTAAAATTCTCCTCCAATCCAATGCATGAATAGGATGATTTAGTCATTGTAAAGAATTTCCTTCGCATTACCAACATGACATCTCTTCAGAGGAATACTAATAATGTGCCATTGCCTTTGACATAGTTACTTAACCTCTTGGTGTCTGAATTTTATTACCTCTAAAATGAGGATAAGGAATAATGCCTACTTCATATGGCATCTCCTGGTTTTCTATTTGTGTTCTTCTTTTTCAAATGATGTTTTGGTCACTTAACACACACTTAATGAGCACCGACAGTGTTCCCAGGCACATTCTAGGTGTGGGGATTATGTGAGGGAACAAGATCAAGTGGTCACTCTCATGGAGCTTATGTACGTACATCGTGGTGGGGTGGCAGATAATATAGAGATGCAAACGGATAACATTGTTTCAGGCTGTTTATGATGAAAAAAAATCAAGCAAGGTTTGGGCTAAGAAACTAAGTATACTGTGGTATATATGGTAGTCAAAAAATATTTCTGTGATGGGGAAATGTGGTAGAGGCATGAAGGAGGTGAACTTCAATGCTGAGAGGGGACAGTAATATTCACAGAATATTGGAGAATTAATGTGCTGATGCAGAGAGAATGGGGGTGAGGACAAAGACAGATGGTAGCTAAGAGGAGCCAGGGACAAGATCCTGAGTGCCTCATAAGACAGGAGGAGGAATTTTAATTTTATTTAAATACAGAGGAAAGCCAGAGCACTGGCCTCTGAATTGCTAAATTGTAAGTTAAAAAGAAAATTAAATGCTAAGTTTCCTATTCAAGCAGATGCCTCCCGAACAACGTCCACTTGCCCTTGTAGCAGCTCACAACAAAGAAAAGCCCATATTCAGCAATCAGAGTTTCTCTCACAAGCACAGATTCTAAAAAGCAAAGCTAAACAGAGTCATCAAGTTGTGGAATCGTGTCCCTGACCTACACCCACAACCCAAAAGCAAGCCTGAGGTATTTTTCTTGTTCTTTCCTGCACTGCCCTTTGCTAGCTGATGGACCAGGAGCAGGAACTCTAGCAGTGTTCAGCCACCGAAGTGGAAAAGAAGATTCGCTGCATGAACACCAAGATCAGGCAGGGTGGCACACAACTCGCCTTATTATGGAAAGCCTACCTTTGCAGATGGTCCCGTTGCCCACGTAGCCTGGTTTGCAGGTACAGCTGTGTCCCTGGACCGTGTTGGTGCAGATGGCATTCTCGTCACAGTTGTGCTGTCCACTTCCACATTCATCGTGCTCTGTCAGTGGGTAGAAGAGAAAGAGACACCTTTTCTTAGGCTGGAATTACTGGTATTAGAATTTAGCTGGAACTCACCACCAAAAATGACAGTGACAACCATGAGTGGGGAACCTTACTATGTACCTGTTTCCACATCTGATATGTTTGAAGTCTCAGTGACTCTGAAAGATGGATGCTATTATCCCCAATTTGAGGATAAAGAAAAACAGTGTCAGAGCAGTCACACGAAGTCACACAATTGGGAAGCAGTAGTCTAAGGCCACAGCTTCCTTCACCTTCTGCAAAGGTTTCCACAGATGCTCCAAGGCAGGGGTTCGCAGCAGGTGGCGATTTTGCACAGCTCCTCTGGAAACAGTTGATGATGTCTGACAAGATTTTGGGCTACCTTATTGAGGAAGTGCTACTGAATAGTAGCTAGAGAATAGAGATGCCGATGAGCATCTTACGAAGAACAGGAGAACCCACACAACAAAGAAGTAACCAGTCCAAATATCAACAGCGCCACAGTTGGGACATCTTCCTCCCAATTTACCATGATAAATTGCCTGGCTTCTTTAGAACAAAGAGGGTCAAACTGAAGAGGAAGAAGGCCCAGCCAATATACTGTATGTACCAAAGGACATTTACCAACAGGTCTCTTAAAAGGAGTAATTCTTCTCACAGGGGATGTTGGTGAACACAGATGGTGCTGAGTAAGAAAGGGATTTACTCTCAGGACTCATCAATTCTAATTCTCCGTAGGGTGCATAATCTAACCTCAGAGTAGTTTCCTGATATGTGGTGATATTGTTATATATAGTCAAATAGCTGCAGCATCCTTAATCCATAATGGAGGGAAATGAATCCGACTACAAATGGACTAAAGCAGTTCAAGTCAGACCCAGATATCATGGCTGACTATCCTTTCCTCTTGTAGCCAAAAAGTTTATAGAGTTATCCAATTGATTTCTATAAATAAACAATATGGGAAAGTTAACACTCTTTAATATATATCAGTGTAACTTTTTAGAAATATGAAGAAGAAAACTCTGGTAAAGCCATCAAATTTACAAAAGGTTATAAAACAGGAATAAAAATTTCAGCTAGAAACATCAAAGAAATACCACTAATCAAACAAAACTTAAAATTGAGCATAGTTTTGATAAGTGAACTGTTAAATCAATATACTAATCAGTTGAAATATCCATTTTCATTAAATTTTTTACTTTAAATTTCCTAATGGGATCTAATAATGAAAAAGATTAAATCTCAAAAAATAGAGCTGTTTTAGTAACTGATACACAAATGAGGTAAAGCACACACCTGCATCTGACTTGATTTGATACCTAAGATTTTCCAAAAAATATTTTTTCTTTAGGCTTCAAGACCAACCCAAACCATCATTGAGAAATGTGCACAGGTTAGAAAGCAGTGAGAAGGGAAGGGAAGATTTATAAGGACACACTTCCAGCCTGTCTAAAGCCATCTCCAGCATGCCCCAGAAGTAGTATAAACCTGTAGATGTCAAATCCAACGTACTGACCTATCAGGCACCTAGTACGCACAGGTAAAAACCAGAAAATTTTGATGGACAAAAAAATGTAGGGACATAGGCTTAGAATCCAAAGTTTACAGTCTCCTTATTTAAATTCTTTTCATAAGCAATTATTAGGGTCTATACTGAGAGAAGTAGATAAGATCTTTGATCATATAAACTTGTTAATAGGGGCCATCACACATCAATATGTAACTAAATAGGAACACAAGAGAGAAGTGATGAGTTTTAAGTAGGTGACTTCATATTTTGTCATACAAACAGGATGTATTTTAAAGAGAAAGAGTGTTCCATTAGTAAAGACACTAGGATAATAGGCATAATTCAGAATAACCTAGGCAAACCAGCATGTGTGGTCATGCTAGATAAGAAGAATAGAGATAATCTGAGGCTGCCTCATCTTGAAAAACCAATTGAAATACTACCTGACAGATTTTTCTCTTCTCGTCATTAGAAGGCATTATTTCAACAGGTCAAGAATGGTCATGATTTTCTCAGCCAGAGTCGCTCAAGGGCACACAAGGCAGAAGAGCAGAGTGGAGAAAGACACAGTTTTATGTAACATTCAAAAGCCTGGTGCATCTTTGCCTACCTTCCCTTGACCCCTAGTCCTCTTTCTGATGAGGCAGCCTCACGGCTGTCCTGAAAATGATTTCAAGCCTACCTCTCTAGCTTTTTCATGCTGCTTCTTTGACCCAAAATACTCTCCCCCAGGGTAGCTGGAATATGTGTGTCCCTGCCTGGCTTCAGATACCACTTCAAACTCACACTCTTGTCAAGGAGTCATCTACACACACCTTGAGACCAGGCAAACCTCACCCATCTTGGAGATTTATGAAATTTAATATCTTTACCTTGTTGGCGGCAGTCATATCACAGTATGTTGTAGTATTTACAAGTTTTAACATTAATGTTTTAATGAACTCATGAACTTTTCAGAGAGAAATTGTGACATAGTTTCTGAAGCCCTCATTTTACCAATTAGTTTTTTATATAATGAGTGGTATTGAACCTAGAATTCCAAGCACTGGAATGAAAAAAAAAAAAAAAAAATATATATATATATATATATATATATACATACATATATATCTTTTTCCTCTCTATATCACTATATATATATATATGTGTGTGTGTGTGTGTGTGTGTGTGTGTGTGTGTGTGTGTGTATATATATATATTAAATAAACTGAGACAAAAGGATGGTAAACAAGCTTTTCACATCACAAAATTTGTAGATAAGGGAGCTCAGATTTGTGAATCTACATACCAGGTGAATCACCACCTTGCTGAGCAGTTGTTGGAAGTAATTTGAATGTGGCTGAAACTAAACCAGTACATGTGGAAATGATTTCATCATGTCAAAAATGGAGGCTCTCTTCTGTGCTTGTTCCAAATTCTCACTGCAATCTCTTACATTCTTCCCAAGAATACAAAACTTGTTACTGAATGACAAAGACTACAAAACTTCCATATCTCAGTATCTTTCATCTCGCCCAAATTTGCAAAATGACTAGCACCTTCAAAACTGTTTGATGAAGATGGACAAAAAAGACATGATCTCCTTCTAAATATATCAAATTCCTTTCCAGCTGTTGGAAATGCTGCAAATGGTATAAGACAGGTGCTCATGAGAGTTAACATGGCACATAGGTTAAAAGCACAGACTCTGGAACCACCAGCCTTGGTTATATGGTGCATTTGACAATTACTAGCTATGTGCACTACAGTAAGTTATTTAGTCTCTTTGTGTCTTAATTTCTTCATTGCAAAATATAAATAAACCTGATATTGTTGTGAGGAATTAAATTAGCTAATATAGGGAAAACACTCATAGTACATTGCTACTAGTAAGTGCTCCATAAAGGTAAGCTATTTTATTATCACCATTGTATTACTATTATTACCACCACCACCATCACTACAGCCTCCTCCACTAAATTACTCCTCCTCCTCCTACTACTACTACTACCACTATTACTACTACTACCTACTACTACACAATTACTTCTGGGAAGACTTAATTGTCACATGATAGCAAAAATTGGTTGAGAAAACTTTGTCTTTCCTTAACGGGATGGTCATTTCTGCAGAAAGACTGAACACATAGGCAGTTGAAGAAAATTAATTAGAGGCTAGGTTGTGGCTCAGTAGTAGAGTGCTTGCCTAGCATGTGTGAGGCCCTGAGTTTGATCCTCAGTACCACATAAAAAATAAATAAATAAAATAAAGTTTAAAAAAAGAAAATTAAATTAGAATCTTTTTGAAAGTCCAAAGAAATATTAGCTTAGGGTCAATTATGGTCCCTAGGAAACAAGACTATAAATTGGGAATGTGAAGAATGTGAATTTAGGATTGTACAGCCTGAGTCTGGTTTTAGTATACCTGGAAGATCCAAACTCTCACGTGGATAACGACTGTGGCAGCAAGCTGTCTCTCCAATACATATCCTTGCCCCCGCTAACATTTGAGCACTCATTAAGCACAGGCATTATCACATACTTCCTTTTTCTTGCCTTCTCCTTTCTATTCCATGGTATATATCAGAAGGACTCTAACTTCTCCACATCTGTCACCGTGCACCATATAAACAGGATATATTTTAAAGAGAAAGAGTGTTCTATTAATAAAGATGCTAGGATAATAGGCATAATTCAGAATAACCTAGGCAAACCAGCATGTGTGGTCATTGTCAATCAACATGTTGTTTTCCTTAGTGAACTAGTTAGGACCCAACCCCCACCAAACAGGTGCTGCATGTGTGGCTCTAAATGTCCCACATGTGAGGTCTAGATAATCCCTCATGTATACATACCTTACAAAATTGTTGCAACTACCCCCACGTCATACTCTCCTTGTATTTGCATTCAGTTAACACTCTTCTATACCTGTTCACCCTCAGCAATCATCTCCTGTCAAGCACTAATCTGTTATCCACCCCTACAGTTTATCATTTAGAGAATGTTATATAAATGGAATTATACAGGAAGTCAATTTTGAGATTTCTGACTCTTTTCACTAAGCATAATGTCTTTGAGTTCAATACAAATTGTTCTATATGTTAATAGTCTGTTCCTTCTTATTCCATTGCTCAAGGTACTAAAATTTATTCAACCACTCACACAATGAAGGACATTTGAATTGCTTCCTGTATTTTGCTATTATGAATAAAGTTGCTATGAACATCTGTGCACAGGTTTCAGTGTGAACATATGTTTTTAGTGTTCTGGGATAAATGCCCAAGAGTGTACTTGCAGGATCATCTGCTAAGCACATGTTTAGTTTTGTAAGAAAGTGCCAAACAAATTTCCAAAGTGGCTGTACTACCTTACATTGCCATCAACAATGTACAATTGGTCTGTTTTTTCCACATCCTTGCCAGAATTTCATGTTGTCACTGGTTTTTATTTTAGCTATTTTGATAGATATGTAATAATACTACATCATGACTTTACTTTGCATTT